TCTAAAACAAACGTGTCTGACGTCACAGATAAAGTCCCGTATGTGACAACCGGAAGTGGCTGTTGCTAGGCAGGTTCTAGTCTAATATATGACAATTTCCCCCCTCTTAATTTTGGGCTTGGAAATAACAGTGTCAAAAATAAAATAAAAAGTTAAATAACAAAAGTCCATAGTTCATTCCCTATAACGAAGTGGAGGCCTTCTCTGTCTCTCTGGGTTTCTTCTTAGTCCGGGAGGTTGTTCTTCCTCCATCTTGGGCACTTCACTCATGCTAGGTTCCTTTTCTTTATGAGGAGACTCGGCTGGTTGAAATGGAGCTCGAGCTGAGGTCTTTAGTGTTTTACCCATTACTGGGGTTGCGGCTGTTTCTAGAGGCACTGGAGTTTGTAGCAGGGGTTCTAAGTTTCTGTCAGCTTCTGGCCTAACCTTCATGTCAAGCATCCTGGGCCTCAACTGGTCTTCATGCCGCTTGTAGACGTGTTCATCCACTTGGATGTAGTATGAGCGCTGCAGCACATCAATCACAGTACCTGGTAACCAGCGTGGTCCACTACGAAGATTCAGCACGAAAACAGCATCTCCAACCTTGAATCTTGGTTCGCACTTACAATTTTTCTCAAACACAGACTGTTCCTTGTCACTGACAAGCCCAGGTCTCAGGTTAGAGAACCGTGTTCGCAGCTGACGTTTCATGAGCAGGTGGCTAGGTGTGTCGCCAGTAGCAGAGTGAGGAGTTGTGCGGTAAGATAGGAGAAACCGAGCAAGATTTTCTTCTAGAGTACTTCCATTGTCTTTCATCTTCTTCATGTGAGACTTGAAATGCTGAACATACCTTTCGGCCATTCCGTTTGACGCAGGGTGTCCTGGTGGTGTAAGAGTATGTTTTATGTTGTTTCTCAGCATGAACTCTTGAAACTCGCCGCAAGTGAATTGTGGCCCATTGTCCGTGACAATGTGTTCTGGAATTCCAAACGTGGCGAACAACTTACGTAGCTGTAGTAGGGTAGCTTGAGCTGTAGTGGAACCCATAGGTAAAACCTCCAACCACTTGGAGTAGGAGTCTACAACTATTAGGAACATGCGACCCATAAACGGGCCAGCGAAGTCCAGGTGTAACCTCTTCCAAGGACCTGACGGCCAGTTCCATGCAGCTACAGGAGGGCTGGTGGGTTTGGGAGCATTTTCTTGACAGCAGGGGCATTGTTTTGTAATCGCTTCAATAGCGGTGTCTAGCTTTGGCCACCAGAAATGCTGCCTGGCCAGGGCTTTCATCCTAACTGTTCCCATGTGTTCCTCATGAAGGTCAAGTAGTAGGTTAGGTCTGAGTACAGGGGGTATGATCATTCTGTTAGACCACAACAAGCATCCTTGCTCGACGGAGAATTTATCCTTCTTTGTGAAGAAAGGTCTCAATTCCTCATTTGGACAGCAGTTAGGCCATCCTTCTTTGGTCAGCTGCAGTACTTTGGAGAGGCATGAGTCACTGCTTGTTTCTATGGCAACAATTCTAAGTGGTATTCCACTCAGTGCATTAATGTCTATTGACAGTACCTCCTCATGCTCCATTTCATGCTCAGTGGGTGTCTCCTGGATAGGAGATCTAGAGAGGTAGTCAGCACAAACATTCTCTTTGGATGCGATGTACTTAACTTGGTAACTGTAAGCGGACAAAATAATGGCCCATCTCTTTATTCTAGCTGCAGCAAGTTGTGGAATTCCACTGTGTTCACCAAACAATTTGACCAGTGGTTGATGATCTGTGAGCAAGGTGAAAGTTCTTCCCTAGAGGTACTGGCGAAATTTCTGTACTCCAAAAATAATACCCAGGGCTTCCCGCTCTATTTGTGCGTAGTTTCTTTCAGTGGGCGTGAGGCTCCTAGAGGCAAAAACAACGGGTTTTAGGTCTCCATCTGGTGTTCTTTGTTGAAGGACTGCGCCCACCCCTGTTGACGACGCGTCACAGGCTAGCAAAAGTTCAGCATTTTGATCATAGTGAGCTAACAATGCATGTTCAGACATCTCCTCCTTTATCCTTCTGAAAGTAGATTCATGGTTACTTCCCCATCTCCATTTCACATCCTTTTTCAGCAGATCATACAATGGGGCCAGGCTACTAGCTAGGTTAGGCAGGAACCTTGCATAGTAGTTCACAAGGCCAATAAATGACCTGAGTTCATTCACATTGGTTGGCCTAGGTGCCTCCTTAATGGCCTTTACCTTCGATCCTGTAGGTTGAATTCCAGCAGATGATACTTTATAGCCAAGGTACTCCACTTCCGACAACAGGTACTTGCACTTAGACTCTTTAAGTTTCAGACCATTATCTAGTAGTCTCGTCAAAGCACCCTTCAGGTTTACTAGGTGTTCCTCATCATCCTTACCAGTCACCAGCAGGTCGTCCATGTAGACCGTCACTCCAGGCAGTCCTTTCATGATATTTTCCATAGCACGTTGGAAAATACCAACGGCAGAATTAATACCATATGGTAGGCAGAGGTACTCGTAGAGGCCACAGTGTGTGTTAATGGTTGTCAATTTCTTAGTAGCATCATCTAAGGCTATTTGGTGGTATGCCTCAGATAAGTCCAGCTTTGTAAACTTCTGTCCCCCAGCTAGGCTAGCAAAAATCTCCTTCACCAAAGGCAAAGGATATCTATCCATCTTAGCTGACTTGTTTACTGTGGACTTGTAGTCACCACAGAGCCGTATAGCTCCAGAAGGTTTAACCACTGGTACCACTGGTGCAGCCCAGTCAGAGTGCTGCACCTTTCTGATCACTTCATCTTTCTCCAGTCTGTTGAGCTCCTCCTCAACTCTCTTTTTCATGGCAAAAGGTAAAGCTCTGGACTTGCAAAATACAGGTTGTGCACTCTCTTTTAATTCGATATGTGCTTCAAAGTCCTTTAGGCACCCAACTCCTGGTTTAAACAATTCTTCGTGTTCTTGTAGCAGCTTTGATAATTGTGGCGGCTCAGGCTCAGGGTTTAGGACCGAAAAGATGTTTTCCCAAGGTAGTCTCAGCTTCAACAACCAGTTTCTTCCAAGAAGTGGGGGATCTTGACCATCAGCAATGACAAGTGGCAGGTTAGCATATTGGTTTCCAATTTTAACTGAGACTAACCTTTCGCCGCAAACTCCAATAGGATTACCTGTGTATGAGCGTAACTTGGAACTGGAAGGCATAAGGTGAGCATCATTAAAGTACTTCTTAAAATCGTCATAATTCATTAGGGACACCCCGGCTCCTGTGTCTAGTTGGAAACTAACAGGCATATCATTGAGTGTTACTTCAACACGGATTGGGGATCCATCTTGTGGCGAATCTATGTGGTACAAAGGCTTGTAATTCTCAACTGGTTCACTGTCGGAATTTTCGGGGCTCTCTTGTGTATTCACAAGATTTGTCTGCACTCCAGCTACCTTTGGATATTTCGAGAGGCAAACTCTCTCCAAGTGGCCTTTCTTTTTACAATAGTTGCATGTTATATGAGCTGGCCGTTGGCATTTCGGTGCCAAGTGGTCCTTTGAACCACACTTGAAGCATTTCTTTTGATTTCCTTTCTCGGAAACGGTCGTGGGCTTATCTCCGGCCTTATCTTTCTTGTTCTGTACTCTGTTTACTGAAAGGCTAGGTCTGAGGCTGTCTTGCAATGCTGTGGCCTCCTCAGCCGCGGTTTCTTGAGCAATGGCTATCTTGTAGGCTTTGGCGAAAGTGAGGTCAGACTCCACGAGTAGTCGGTTTTGAATTTTCTCGTTCTTAATTCCACACACGAGTCGGTCTCTCAGCATATCATGTAGACTATCACCAAAATTGCAAGTTTCGGCGGTTTTCCTCAGGACAGCTACGTAATCGGCTATTTTCTCTCCTTCTCTTCGTATACGTGAATGAAATTTGTACCTTTGTACTGTCTCGGATTTTGTCGGTGCAAAACGGTTTCGTAAGACCGCTACCAACTCTTCATACGTTTTCTCCGCTGGTTTGCTAGGAGAAATTATGTTTCGTAGGGCTGAGTATGTCGCAGGGCCAATAGCACGTCTTTTCCTTAAACGGGCTTCAACGTCTGCCTCGTTTGAACCATCTCCATTCAGGGTTAATTCGCCCAGGTCATTCGCCTCAAAATACTGCTCCAGCCTCTCTACATATTCTTCAAATTCCGCTTCTTGTCCATTAAACTGCTCTATTTTTCCAAAAGACGCCATAATCCCATCCTCGTCGCCAATTGTTGTCTTGAAAGGTTTTTAATGAACGTTCATTCAGAATCGGTTTTACAAGTCGGACAAACTAACTCTACATTTCTAAAACAAACGTGTCTGACGTCACAGATAAAGTCCCGTATGTGACAACCGGAAGTGGCTGTTGCTAGGCAGGTTCTAGTCTAATATATGACAAGACACATGTGTAAATTTATAAAATTCGCTCTAAAACAAAAGGATTAATGTACGGTTTCTTGCAATTAACTTTAATGCCAGAAACATCTAAGTGAAAAATGAAACAGATATCTTGCAACACCAGAATAGAAAACCTGTCTAACTTCTTGCGAGAGGCCAAGTCGCAAAAGTCGTAAACGTCGTATATGATTGGATGGCGGGTGGAAACTACGCTAAGAACCTCACTCTGTAAGTCTTGCAATAGTTTCTCTGTTTCAACTTCCTGTTGATCTTTTTGAAATTCTTCATAATCTTGACATTTCTTTTTTCCTGTGACTCGCGAAAGAAACTTGCTGGGATGTCAGGAATTCTGTGGTAGATAGAACATAGGTTCGCCACTGGAGAGCTTTTCTCATAGCTTTTGAAACGGAGACAGGATCGGCCTTTTGACYAGTTTGCTCGCCAATTTGATATATTTCTAGCAGGTATTTCTTCTGTTTTTCTGAGTGGCGCTTGCGCTGCTTGGTACTTTTTAGGGCCCAGCCCATTTTCAGCGTAGGCTCATTCACTGCGACCGAGGGAGTTCCTTCAAAAATTTGTGGCACATCCATCACAAGTTGCTCCTTGCTCTAGTTTAGCTGCGTACATCAATATCGCTTTATCAAAAAAGGTTTCACGCTCCAGAACATACTTGTGCTTGCCACAGTATATGTGGTTTTGTAAAGACGAATACCTTTGGAAGGATTTGATGCAAATTGAACAAAACCACGTTTCTTTCAACCGAGAATTCCCTTCACAGTGACACTTGTTATCCGCTTTTGATCACTTTCGTATTGACAATCAATTCTGAAATCTTTTATTTCTTTTCAATCTTTGAACATTTCTTTGTATTTGTTTTAAGGCTTTAGAAGAGATAAATGTTTAAAATAGCTAGCGATTCTTTCTCGCTTCCCATTTGCCTCCTTGACGTTTATTACACGAAATTTGATTGGCTAACGATCGAAGATCGTGATGTATGGAGAATTTGTATTTTGATATGAGAATCAAATTCAAATAAAGATTTCTTTTCGTTGCAAGCGGTAATGTTTTCCCTTAGTATTTATTTTATAAAAGCAATAGAAAACTTTTTCTCTGTGTTTACATAGCCTGATAGCAACACTCGGGGGGTTGGGAGAATTCTCGACAGTTATGCAAACCCTCGACTACGTCTCGGGTTTGCATGACTGTCTCGAATTCTCCCAACTTCCCCTCGTGTTGCTATCAAGCTATGTAAACACGGAAAAAGTTTTCTATTGCTTAAATAGCTGACTTTCTCTGCAATGATGGAAAGAATCTGCCTACGCGTACTCCAATGTCCAGCGCTGTTGTAACACTAAGTGAGCGCGTCTAGCAAAGCAGAATCTATATTATCGCAAGTGTTATAAGAACTACAGATCGAGCTAAGGAGCTGTTGGTGGTCTTGGGGCGCAATTTCTTCAAGACATGCGCCGACAACTTGTATTGCATTTCGAGTATGGTAGCATTTTGTTCGCGCAGACGCTGTGTCCCATGGTGTTACCAATGAGTGGCGAATCGGGCTTATATCCCGTAAAGTTAGAAATGCTTTGAGGTGGTCTCTAGGTGTCTCATATGTAAAGAATTTGTCTTCTTCAAGAACCAAGGATACGGACTGTGCCTCTGAAGGCTGGTAAAGGCTCACGGGTGTTTTGTGTAATGCACAGACTGAGCCAGCTGGACTTGACTTCAGTGGTGTTTTAAAGATATATCTCTGAATCTTCATCCGTCTTTGACGAAAAATATATTCAAAATTTCATTAACGCCCTTAAATGATCTTGATGATTAAGACAATTTTGTAGCTTTTTACCAATCCTTTTTTTTTTGTTGTTGTTGTCACCCATGAATATTATTTTGTTGTCTGATCTAAATTGGTAATTTCCAAATATATGATCATTTAGTTCAATAACTTGCTACTTTTGTTTGACTTATTATTCTTATCCCTAAACGTTAAGCAAACTTATAATTATGTTTCGTAACATCCATTTTGTATATTCATTTTAACGCTGATGTGACGTCACAGCGGCTATGTTGGTTTACCAAAACAATACATTTTCTATCCTCCGGGAATTGAACTCTATTTTTATGCAAATACCGTGCAGAAAGTTTCTATTGTTTATTGCTGCCTTCTCACGTGAGTGAAAACGCTCCATTTTAGTCAATCCATTGTCCATTGGGCTTCCTGTTGTAGGGAAATGCGGTTTGGGACAAAGGCAATGTGATCCTCACTCACCAATTGAAGCTTCTCAAAATCCATTGCAACATTCTCTTCAAGCTCTATTTGTTTTAACTTTTTTTCACAGTTGGTGCACATTCCTAGATTGAATGGTAAATTGAAAATGTTATCCTGTGTGCTCATAAAATCAGGAGGCTATCAAGTAGAGATTGAGTGAGTACCTTGCACTTGCAAAACATATTCATATTATTTTTAAAAAAACGGCATGTCAATCAAGGGACTTTGTACATTCGCCGTCTTTTATCTCAATAACGATCAAGTTAATGATATATGAACCTGGCCTTGGTGTTTTCAGTTTAAAACTTTATTTAAGAGGCAAAACTTTAGGATAAAAAAGAAAAGAAAGTTCAACAAAGAAATGAAATGTCAAATATGGCTGTTACAATCCTTCGTGACAGTGTCACGCTCTACAGTACCATGCTGACATTATTACCTGAAACCGGATACGATGCACTTAACCTGACAAACAATTGATAAAACCAGAATTGAAGCTCTAGGTTTCACCAACTAAACAAGGTTAGCGATTATAACTTTAGTTTTATAAATGATTTAAGATAGTAAACATGATTAATCGACGGCTCACCAGACGATCTTGTCGATTTCAGTGTCAAAAATGTTCGATATTTTACGGAACTTTGAGCTCGCCCCTCGTATAAATACTGTTCAAATACACAAAGAAATTTTTATATCAATGGAAGCCATCATTGCTTCATCTTTCAAAATCTAAAAGCTCGTTGGATTTCTTTGTATCGCTCATAGTTTAAATGACCATTGTTTTGAGGCTACTTTTATAGTAGGAAAAAGTATGGCCGATGAAAAAAATCGTAGAAAATTCCACATTGCAGTGAAATCTTTAACAATAACAGTGAACGAAGAACTGATAATATGCAATAAGAAAATCGTGTTATCAATTTCAAAAGTTAGATAGTTTCGTTATATGATGTCACTGAAGTTGGCCAATTTGAGGCATTACTAATTAGCATATTCACCCGTTCCGGGAAAATGCTTAAAAAGCAAAAATATATTTTCACAAATAAACTACTCCATGATGATTGGGACATAATAGTCTACCACTACTGAAAGTATCAGCAAAATCGAGTTTTTGAAGCTTGCCACGAATTTTCAATTTTGTTTGATGCTTGCTGACACCGCTCTTAATAGTTTCTACATATATTCAGTTTTCAGGTATACTTTATTTGGGTTTTGATTTCCCGCTATAAAGAGTTGAATACACACCGGTCGCTAGGGTACCCTGATATCTTAAACATTACACCGATCGGCAAGAAAAACTATTTGCTGAAAGTATAGTACGGACTTTGTTCAAGTTCGCCTTGTCTTCGTCTTTATGATGTCATCTGCGAGATGTACCATTAGCTTTTACCACTTCCCCCTCCCCCCCAGGACAAACCATATCAATCAATCAATCAACTTTATATGAATACATACTCCCAAATCAATATTTACAACTGCTCTTCCTGAGGCTGTATAAAATTTTTTACAATGCTATTTACACATGAATAGTTGTATTAAGATATGAATTCCATAGTAAAGACTATGTGTAATTGAATCTGAAGAATGAATGAAAATGAATGGATGAATAGATGAGTGGGAAAAATGAATAAACGAGCGAATGGATGGATAAATGAATGAATAGATTCATGGAGAAATCAAATTTTGGAGAATTTTTGCAGAATTTAAGCTTCCGACCCGGAGACACTTGTATGTGTTTATGAAAACTGCAGCAAACGCGATTGAAAGAAATTTTTAAGTTTGCCAATTTCAACAAATTTTTAAATCATGTTTCTGAAACATGTTGCAATAGCGTGAAGTGAACTTGTAAAACTTCGAGTTGAAAATAAAAATCGTCGAGTTTGTAATATGAAACTCGTTCGAGATATTCATGGCGTGCGGAGTTTAGAATGAATCAGTGACGAATACAAAACATCCATGACAAATAGAAAACACGTATGTTGAAACCTTGATGCTGACCATGTAAATGACGAAATATCAATATAAATCAAATTCTCATAACCATGCGAAGATGGTATAAGCACGCCTTAGGGGAAACCCCTAATCAGAACGTTCCGACAAGTTATTATTATTGAATATTTTGTCACGCTATCTCACTTGTCAAGTATGCAAATCTGATACGGTTATACTAGTACCGGTCTATAGATTTTGGGTTACGTTTTCCAGCTGAACACCATGGAGTCAAGCGAGATGATCTACGCGGTTAAATTGATGGACTTACAGACTTACATACTTCTGCAACGGTACCCCTTTTACTCCTCTCCATCCATCTTGTATGGTGTTGAATTGATAAGAGAAAAACTTATGCCACCACGTTTTGGAGGCAACTGAGTCATCTCAACACGGGCCTCTGGCACTCAGGGTACCGCCAGTGAGGACTCAAATAAATATAGATGTTATATTTGCTTACTTTTAGGCATGATAGACAACACGAACTAGTCTGCGGGGATTTTCTTGCCTCCGGGGCTCTAGACATATGAGGATCCACCTTAACTTGGAGTTTCACAAATCC